TTCCGTTAAAGCAGAGACAGCCTAGAAACATGGTTCCCTTCCATTCCCAGGTGAGGAGCTGTGTTAATCTGCTCAGGCTGCCATAACAAAGTACCACAGATTGGGCAGCTTAAACAACAGACGTTTATTTTCTCACAGTTGATGTCCAAGATCAAGGTGCCAGCAGTCTGGTTTCTCCTGCGGCCTCTCTCCCTGCTGTGCAGACAGCCACCTTCTTGCTATGTCCTCAACACGGGCTTTTCTCTGCATGCACATCCCCGCTGTTTCTTCCTGTAAGGACACTGGTCCTATTGGATTAAGGCCCACCTTTATGATGTCATGTAAACTTAATTACCTCCTTAAAGGCCCCGTCTTCAACACCCCCATCCCCTTAACTCCATACAATGTGAGCTAGGTCCTTACACTAAATCTGTGTGTGTGTGTATGTGTGTGTGCACATGTGTGCGTGTGTCTCCTATTAGTTCTGTTTCCCTGAAGAACACAAACTAATACACAGATACTATGCAGGGAGATGAAAGCCTAAATCACACCTCTAAGGAGAAACATTAAAATTAAATCTTATTTTTACCTAATGAGAGAAAATTAAATATTAAAGAATATGATTTTTGTCAGAAAGGGTTGAGTTTCGGAGGGCCATAAAGCACTGTAATATTTAATAATTTTTGCTAAACCCCAAAGAACCAGTTTTGCCCCTTCGGGAGACAATATTGCTCCCATGGAGAATGCATGCCTTTTAGAGAGATAATCCTTTGCATCCACAAAACAAGAGTAAATTGTAATTTATAAAATGAGCACTGAAAAAATAAGAGTTCTAGGAATTGAAAAATCTGAAAACAGAAATTAAAAACTCGGTGAAAGGATTGTGAGTTAAATCTCCCAGAAAGCCAAATACTAAGAAAAGATGGCAGAAAAGGAGAGAACAGATTGTAGAATTAGAGCATCAGCTCAGGAAGTTCAACATTTTAATAATAAGAGTCCCAGCGTCTGGCTGGGTAGCTCAGTTGGTTAGACTGTCATCCTGTACCCCAAGGTTGCAATTCGATCCTCAGTCAGGGCACAAACAAGAAGCAACCAAAGAATGCAGGAATAAGTGGAACAAATCGGTGTTTCTCTTTCTTCTTTCCTTTCTTAAAAAAAAAAAAAAAAAAAAGAGTTCCAGAAAGAGAGAAAATATACGTGTGATGGTAGTGGTGGGGAATCATTAAATAATTTGAGCCAATTTCTCCAACTGAAGGATATGCATTTTCAAACTCATTGCAGCCATGGAGGGCCCAGCTCAGATGACAGTACCCCATCTAAGGCACCTCACCACAGTGCCAGAGCACTGGAACCGGAAGAATCATCTAAGACAACCACCCTCTTACTTCTGGGAGGTGTCATCTAGCTCCTGGTGCTAGAATCTCAAAAGTTGAAATGACATTTTTAGTAGATTTGTCACAAGGATTTTTGGAAAGAAGTTCTGAAGATACTAGCATACCTTTTATTTTTTTTTGTAAAAGTAACATATGCTCATTTTAGAAAATAGAATTTTCAGAAAAGTTTAAACCAGAAAAAGTCTCAGCTGTAATTGAACAACCCTGAACTAAATACTGGATTGGTTCCTTCCTGTGTGGGTACTTTTAAGAATATATCAGCCTATCTATCCTTTTATAATATTTATTATTAAACATAATTGAAACCATTCCTATGTATAGTTTTAAATTCCTGCTTACTTATATAAAGAGCATTTTTTATTAAAAGTTTTCAAAAGTTTCAATGACTGTGCAAATATCCTAATTTATACTATAATTTATATAATCAACCTGTTTTTAGACATCTGAGTTGTAGCCACCTTTTCTGCATTTTTGTTGTTGTAGTTAATCCTCACCCGAGGATATTTTTCCATTGATTTTTAATTAATTAATTAATTTATTTATTAATTTATTAAAGTATTTTTTATTGACTTCAGAGAGGAAAGGAAGAGGGAGAGATAGAAATATCAGTGATAACCATTGGTCAGCTGCCTCCACTGGGGATCGAGCCCGCAACCCGGGCACGTGCCCTTGACCAGAATGGAACCCTTCAGTCTGCAGTGCAGACGCTCTATCCACTGAGCCAAACTGGCTAGGGCTCCATTGGTTTGTAGAATGGAAGGGATAGGGAGAGACAGAGAAACATTGAGAGAGACACGGTGATTGGCTGCCTCCTGCAGGAGCCCCAACCAGGGCCAGGGATTGAGGCTGCAACCGAGGTATGTGCCCTTGATCAGAATCAAACCCAGGACCCTTAAGTCTGTGGGCCAATGCTAACCACTCAGAAAAACCAGCTAGGGCTTTATCCACCTTTTCATTGTTCTAAATAGCACTGTGATAAAATCTTTGTATAAATACCTCTGGTTATTTCCTTAAATTGGATTCCTAAACATGGGATTACTGATTAATGTATGGATTTATGGAATTTGCTTCACAATGCCTACTTGAATTCTGGTCCTGTGCTATTTAATATAGTAGCCACTTAGCCACATGTATCTATAGTTAAATTTAAGTGCAATTTAAAAACCAGCTCTTTTGTTGCACTGACCACTAGACTTAGTCCACAATAGCCATGTGGGGTCAGTGGCTACATATTGGACAATGCAGACAGAACATCTCCATCATTTCAGAAAGTTCTAGAGGACAGCACTGTTTTAGAGAAACCATACTTTTTGTTCCTCCATATCAGTCTCTCTATTCCTTTATCAGCTTTAAATATTACCATTTCAAGCCTTATTTGACAAGCCAAAAAGGGAGTCTTCATTTAATTCATAATTGTTTCTAGTTAGAGCTGACCATTTTGTTAGCAATTGTATTTACCTGTGAATTCTCATTTGCTAGTTGTGATGTTTTCCTTGTAGCTCTAGATACCCTAGGACAGCTGTTCTCAACCTGTGGGTCGCGACCCCTTTGGCGGTCAAACGACCCTTTCACAGGGGTCGCCTAAGACCATCCTGCATATCAGATATTTACATTACGATTCATAACAGTAGCAACATTACAGTTATGAAGTAGCAATGAAAATAATTTTATGGTTGGGTCACAACATGAGGAACTGTATTTAAAGGGCCAGAAGGTTGAGAACCACTGCCCTAGGAGCTGTGCGTCATGGTCTCACCTCCGTGGCCATGCCCCACACCAGAGCATATGACCCCTCTACTGGAAAAATGTGGAAATATCCTTTCCAAATGACGGTGACATTTGTCCCACTGTGGTTTTCTGTAGTCTTCCTTCCTCTTTTTCATTCCTCTGGGGTTTGGGGGTTTCTGTTTGGTCTCTTAGCAATTTACTTGTTGTAGTGGCTGGGGCCACTTCCCTACATCTTAGTATGTGCCCGTGCTAACCTGCCTCTTCCCCGCCGCCCCGTCCCCTCCAGCCTGTACTCCTGCCAATGACCCCACAGTACCCTATGCCTAGTACCTTTCGAACACTGTTTAATGAAATAGTACACATTTGAGAAGGGCAGAAAGAGAAAGTAAAAAAAAGAAAGCTAATTTTATTTTTAATGGAACTTTTGGTTTCAGCAGAACCTAGTGAAGTTTAAATATTTGCTCCCCAACATGGCTCTGCAAGGTATTCATGATTTATTTCACAATTTTCCCTTCCTTGGTTGACAACTGTGAAATAGGGAATCAAGTGCTATCAAATGTGACTGTGAATAATGTGTGAGGCAAGCAAGTATCCATGTTGCAGTCCCTTCTCTTGCTCTGCCTTAATCCTGAGCAATAAAAACAATTGCACAGAAACATTTAAGGATGTGGGAGGTGCCAAGGGATGCTTTATTTACCCTCAAGAAAGGGTCCTTGATTGGTGCTCCCCTATGTGCCTCGGGTGGGGGCCTTGCAGAAACCTTCAGAGCCCATGGCCTTACCATGTTGCCCAAATTTAGTTGAGAGCAAACTACCTTCAGTAGCCAAAGTAGGTTGAATGCTGAATAAAATATCCCTTGCTTTATCCTCAGTGAGGCCAACACTGGTATTATGAGCTAAAGTTGACCTAGAAAACACATTTGTGAGCATTTCCCTTCCTCTTCAATGACAATAAAAATGGACATGTGTAACTAATTAAGATGGGAGTTGAGGCCAATGGGCATATTGGGCATCTAGTGCCACCTTGTGGTGACACATCCAAATCCTGGGCCCTTTCAAGGATGCCAAGATTTTAAAAAGGACAGCCCTCTTGGAGAGGAGTTTGGATTTAATGACCATCATGGGAGAGGTCATTTTCTTGGAGAACACAAACTAACAGAAATCACTAGCACTTGCTTGGCACTTTGTAGTAAATAAAGCACTCCCCCGCGATTTAATGTTGGCAGCAGCCCTGTGCTGTAGGTAGTAGGATCTCAGCCTCAGATGTGGAGACTGAGGCTCAGAGAAGTTGGAGACCTGAGTTAGGCAAGTCCTAACCATACTCCCAATTCTATCACTTATTAACATTATTGTACTATATCACACAGTACATATAAAAAACTCACAAGGAATGCATAGCACTATATAGTATAGGGTATATACTGCGTGGTATAATACATAGCCTAGACCAGTGGTCGGCAAACTGCGGCTCGTGAGCCACATGCGGCTCTTTGGCCCCTTGAGTGTGGCTCTTCCACAAAATACCACGGGCGGCCGCGCATGTACAGTGCGATTGAAACTTCGTGGTCCGTGCACAGAAGTCGGTATTTTGTGGAAGAGCCACACTCAAGGGGCCAAAGAGCCGCATGTGGCTCGCGAGCCGCAGTTTGCCGACCACTGGCCTAGACTATATAGAGTATATACTACATGATATATATGGTACTAGAGTACTTATGCTATTTTCTTTTTTGTTTGTTTGTTTTTAATCCTCACCTAGGGATATTTTTCCATTGATTTTTAGGGAGAGTGGGAGAGGGAAAGAGAGAGAAATATCGATGTGAGAGAAACACATCAACTGGTTGCCTCCTGCACGAGCCCTGACCAGGGCCTAGGCCGGGGAAGAGCCTACAACCGAGGTGCGTGCCCTTGACCGGAATCAAACCCGGGACTCTTCAGTCTGCAGGCCGACGCTCTATCCACTGAGCCAACCCAGCTAGGGCTATGCAATTTCCTATAGTACTGCTGAGCAGCACTCACTTCCTTCCTGGGGCTGTTTTCTGTCTGTGAAGACTTTCACTCTGTAAGGCCCATGAGCATCTATCCTATAGGTCTATCTTCTTTACAAGTTGATTTCAAAGAAAAAAACACTGCAAAGGACAGACTCTGTACTATGATCAGTTTTGTTCTCACCTAGTGTAGCCATCTTCCAGCCTGCAAAAGAAGGGGAGAGAATATATAAAGCAACAGGCCAGCAGAGAAGATAGGAATTCCTCTTGCTTCCCCGTTCCTAGGCCCCTCCTAGAAAGTCAAGGACAGGTGGCAGTTAGGATGTCCAGCAAGCTTCCTGCCTGAGACCCACTGCCAGGAGGACTTACTCCAATTGTGCAGAAAGCTATGACTATTACCCAGCCCCTCCCACTCAGACCCCTCCTCTTCAGATGCGGTTGGGGTTTAAGGCCCTGGATTGCTGCATGTATAGTCCAGTCAATATGCTCAAGACAAATACTCTCATAAACAGCTTCCTCCAAAAAGTGAAACACAAGGGCTAACTAAAGGATCCCCTTTGGTTAGCAGGCCAAAAGAACTTGGGTTATTTTTCATACAGTAAAAGTCATTATATGAGAATGTTTGGGAACAGGTCAGCAGACCAATTTCAGGATTTTCCCCTATTCTACCAAATACTAGCTATGTGATTTTGGCCATGTCAGTCATTTACTTCCTAACCACCATGTCCTCATTTCCCACAGGGAGGTGGGACAGATCATCCACCCTATTTCTGGAGAAACTGCGTTGGGCAGATGAGGGGAGAAGGGCCAAGGTGGTGGCCTTCCCTTCTCTCCCTTGGGGTAGTGTGGCAAAGACTGGCCCACTTATAGAGGTCTTAAGACCTGGCCAGATAGCTCCAGTTGGTCAGTGTTGTCCTGATACCCCAAGGTTGTGAGTTTGATTCCTGGTCAGGGCACATACAAGAATCAACCAATGAATGCATAATTAAGTGGAACATCAAATTGATGTCTCTCTCTCTCTCAAATCAATAAATTAAATTTTTAAAAATTAGGCCGGGAGCCACAGTGGGTTCTTGAGACACAGCAAAGTAGCATTTGTGGAACACTGGTCTTGAAGAGACACATGAGTGAACTGAAGCGGAGAAAAATGAGCAAATATGAGACACTAGAAAAAGAGAAGAACAAACCTTCAGGCTAAAAATACACATGGATGTGTTATTTTGCTCTGTTTGGCCTAATTTGTTCTATGGGGTTGTCGGACACACTGTGCGTGTCAGACTCACGTGAGTAACATAAGAATAATAAAGATCTCTAAGTGCAAGAGGGCCCTTAAGCTTTCCTACAGGGACTTTTACAATCAGACAACATGGCTCAATTACACCATAAGACTTCCTTTACTTTTTAGGCCTTGCAATTTTATTTGCTTTTGCATTTCTATAACATACACACACATACACACACACACACACACACACACGCTCTTTTTTTGTGTGTTTTTTTTACACGCTACTTTTTAATATAAAAGTTATGTATACTCATTGAAGAAGTTAAGATATAAAAATATAGAAAATAAAAAAAATGACATGAAACATTCCTCTTCAAGGGGAGGCATAAAAGTCAACCTTGTGAAAGAAACATCAGGACCTGTGCCCTGGGCCCAGGGTCACAGGAGTTGGGCTCTTTGGAGACTTGCGGAATTTGCTCTGAAGGAAAACTCTTGGCACACACAGACCTTCCTTTTTGTTCACCGTCTCACGAAACACATACTCGTTCACCACTTCTTCATAACCTGAGTCCGTAAAGAGCTGAGCCAGGAATTCTGTAAGACAGCAGATCAACAATGCTCGGTGCTGGTGTCACTACCTGTGCTTTGCGGTGGGGTAAGGACTCCCTAAGGGCTGTAGGGCTGAGACAGGTTTTTAAAAATGTAATGAAAACGTCAACATGAAAATGTAAGGTTTTGTTTTGGGAAGTAACACATTCCTACTTTTCTTCATCTTACACCCAAATAGAACCCCCCCCCCCAATAAAAATGTAATCAGGGAAAAAAGTTTAAGGACAACCTGGACTATGCCCACCTTGCCCTATTATGAGTCCCCAAATGCAAAAGTCTGAGTAAAAAGCAGCAAAATTCCAAACTGGCTGTATTAATATAAAGTGTGCATGTGTTCAATTTGTTTAGATCAAGCACCTCATCGATCCTAATATGAAAGAGGAAAATCTGTGACCAGTGTGGGGGAAAGAAATTACCTGGTGGTGATATACCCCACAGAAAAGAAAATTTAACCCAAATAACATGTCACTACATGTTAAATGAAACAAATAACATTACAACAAATTTTTAATTTTCAACTGACATTTTCTATGATTCTGCAGTTTGAATGGTAATCATTCATTTTTTGTTTGGAATCCAAAAGAATATTTTATTTCAAGAAATACAAATGTTTGTAAAAAACAGAGCTTAAGAAGGTAATTTATCTTATGGTCCATTATTAAATAGGTTTAAAACTCATGTTCAAAATGCCCAAAAGACTAAAATAACATTAAATGTTTGGATGTTTTTAATTTAAACATGACTTTTTAAGGAACCCTCTATAGCAAAATTGTGCATTTAAATACAGATCTAATCACTTTTATAGAAAAATGTTTTTTTGTGACCTGGGAGAGCAAGCACAAGGCAATATACTGTCCTATTTCCTTTATTTTTGACTGAACAACGTGAAGAAGGCCCTGAGTTGGCCCCCCCTTTCCAGCACAGTTCTGGTAAGGGTATCCACGTGGCACGCCAGCCTGTCCGTTAACCCAGGTCAACTAGACACCATCACCAGAGGAGGCTTGTGAGCTCACCGCAGCCACGGGCTGTGTCTATGTCATCCTAGGTTCTAGGTAAGGGGCACGTGTCAGAGAGCTTGGCATGCGTGCTAAGTACAGCCATCCCCATCCCAACCAGTAACACAGTGATAACGCAATCAAGTAAACACAAATGAAGACAGAGTCCAGTAATCTTACCGTCAGTAAAAAAATATGATCTGGTTCCATCTTGTCTAACATAAAAGTTTTCTCCAAGTTTGCTTCCAGCTTTAAACCTAAGCATGGCATGATCATATAGTCCATAGTCACGAAACAGGACACTTTTGCCTGGTTTCAATACCTACGAAGCAAAAGCAGGCTGCATATAATGTTGGGGAACCCAGTCAAATAAAGCTTTATAGAGATGGATTCAAGCTAAAATAAAACCTGATTAATTTAGACTAAATTAACTTACATTTATGATAATTAGGAAAGGGGTGAGACTGAAATCCCCATAATATTGAGGGAAAAGGGCCTGCCAATGTAAGGTGCAGCCAGGCCTGGCAGTATGCCCACTGAGGGACACTTCCTGAGCACTTACAAAAGCATTCTGGAAGGTCCAGTGTCACACGATTAAAATGTTAAAGATATTAAACGAAATAGTCGTATCCTCATGAAGGCATGTTTTTCCAACGTTTTATTAGCCATTTCCTAGCACAGTGGTCGGCAAACTGCGGCTCGCGAGCCACATGTGGCTCTTTGGCCCCTTGAGTGTGGCTCTTCCACAAAATACCACGTGCGGGCGCGCACATACAATGCGATTGAAACTTCGTGGCCCATGCGCAGGAGTCGGTATTTGTGGAAGAGCCACACTCAAGGGGCCAAAGGGCCGCATGTGGCTCGCGAGCCGCAGTTTGCCGACCACTGTCCTAGCACATGACCCTGTAGTCAAACTATCTCTTTTAAAAAAGTATGTCCTTTTGGCTTTTACTGATTCTGGTTGGCTTTCCTCATTCTGAGTCTCAGCTCTGGTTTCACTGTGCTACAACTATGGACGGCTTCCCCACCTGCTAACTCCTGACATATGCCCAGCCCTGTACAGCTTACCCGACATTGTCTCATTGGATCTTCACCCAATTCTGAGAGGAAGGAAGCAGTGTGATTATTATCCTCACGTGAGATGAGGACACTGACATCAGAAGTGAGATGAGGAAACTGACATCAGAAGAGGTAAGTGATTTACGATCACACATCAGCTACTAAGTGGGGGAGTCAGGACTCACACTTCGGGTCAAAAGGCATGTTAGTACTTAGATATGTGTGTGTGTGTGTGTGTGTGTGTGTGTGTGTGTGTGTAGGGGTGTGGGGGGTGGGTCATTCCAATGCCATTGACACTACTGACAAGAAAAGAGGGGCTACGAGGGGAGGAGTATTCTTCCCATGCTGTGCTGCACTTCTCAATGTGCGGGGTGGATCAGGCAAGTGCAGGAGTGTAGGGAAGGGGTTCAATGTCTGGCCCAAGTGGGAACCCTCACTAAAGCCTTTCAGAGACAGGCATCACAGGGTGGATGTCTCAAAAATTGGAAGGTAAGATCAGCAGGGAGTGGGTATAACTGCTCCTATCTTACAAAGCAAGTAACCATATGCTTTCAGGATGAAGAGAAAGTGGTACACACTGTAACACTTTCATGTGAAAATTCTTTCAAACTGCGTTAATATTACCAAATTAGAGTGGACTTCAAAGGGGGCATTGATTTTATTAACTCCCACTCTGACCCATGAAATCAACAAGGTAATTAAGACATGACATATACTACCTATTATAATAGATATTTGACATAGTTTGATGTTTTTCTTCTTTCTGAATAGAATATAAAGTATTGTCCATAATACTTTCAAGTGTGCTAGCAGATTCTCTCATTTAGTAATTTCTTATCAATACTAGCATGCATTTTAACTATTGTCAGTAAAGAGGCTCTTGGATAAAAACATTCTTACCTTGGTCAAAAATGCTAAGTTTTAAAATGTGAATAATTGAGAGGGAAAATTTCTGAAAAAATTAGCTCATATGAGAAAGACTTATTCTCCATTTCAGAAGAAAGGAATGCTATACGGGACCGTGGAAAAAGCACTCACTCAGGAATTTGAAAATCTTGATTCATATCATAATTCTTCCATTAACTAGTTGAATGACCTTGAGCAAGTAATTTCATGCCTCTGTAAATGTTTTCTCGTCTGTAAAATAATAATTATGATACTCATGCCTCCTTTAGCCACGGCACTGTATAGTTAAACCCAGCATTTCCCAATGTTAGGTTCTTTTACTCCCCCAATAACTCCGAGAAGTGGGTAGGTTAGGTCTGTTATATCCACTTTACAGTAACTTAGGCTCAGAGTAAAATCATTTGCCTGAGTTTTCAAGACAAGTTGGTGGCACAGGTAGAACAAAATCCAAATCTTCCAATGACAAATGTGGTCTACTTTTACTTCACCATTATATTCCAAAAATAAGGTAATTCAACTAAAAGGTTTTCTTTCAGTTTAAAATTATGTGGTTTTTAAAATTTCTCCAGTGTTAACATCTTGGAGTAATTATATCTACTCTACAATAGCTTTTGTAATTCTTTTAATATATATTTTTTAAATTTTATTTTAATATATTCTTAATTAGATGACTATATTATCAGAAAGTAGTAAGTTTTGTTTCTTTCTCATCCTCAAATCTTGTCTTGTCTTTTTGTGGTGACTAGGACCTCTGCATAATGATGCGAAGTATTGGTAGTGGGCACCCTCAGCCCCATAAAGTTCCTGATATTCCATATTCTGCCCTAACTGCTACGTAACACCTGAATTCTTCATCAGTGAAATCACCAGTATCTGCAACCTCCTCTGAATGTTCTCTTCATTCTTGTGCTCACAGAAACCTCAGTCCCGATGACACTTTTCCCTGCAACCTCTCAAGTCATGGCTGTGTTTTCTCCCACTACTCTGTACCACTGGGCTGGGAGACCTAGCTGGTTTCCTCCCTTGCTCCTCATTGCTATTTTCTGTGCATTCTCCTTCCTCCTCCCTGAAACCCCCAGCTCTGAATCTCTTGTCATCAGATTGTATCACCCATATCCCTTACTGATACCAATGTTTATTAGTTCCATGGCCATATCCCTTCATTTCATGACAAATATATCTTTGGTTTTACTCTCTTATTCTCAATACTATTCCATTCTTAATTCTGGTCAATTCAACACACATGTGCATTATCCTTCCAAATATGCTGGCTTCTTAACGATTTGAGCTTCTCTTTCAAAGATCGTGTCCTCCACCCTGCTTAACCCCCTCACTCCCATGATAATGTCCTAACGTTCTGTCAGCATTAAAGTGTATAACCTCCCCATATTCTCAAAGTCATCCAGGTCAATCGCTGACCATCCCCACCATCTTAGTTCTCTCTCTACTTCCCCATCTTTAATAATCCTTCACCTTCATCCGGACCTTCAAATCAGGTGGTCCTACTATCTCTTCCCTAATGTCCTCTCCTCCCTATTTACCGAGCTTAAGTTCCATGCCCATTTATTGGTATGTGCTGGGTTCTCATCTGCTCAGATACCAGGAACGGGAAAAGGAAAGGTTGAGGAGGAAAAAAACAAACAAACAAAAAACACCTTACAAAACCTCAGAGGGCTAAAACCAAGGTGGCAATATCTGAATATTTTTTTAAAATATTGTTTTAAGTGCAAATAATTATTCCCTAACATGTTTCAAGTGTCTTAAAATTTCTACCTCACTACTCTTTTAAAACAACTAAAATCAGGGTAAAATTTTAATGTATAACTAGCTCTAAATACACAAATGCTGCCATACCTAGCATCCACCTTTCAACTTGCTGAATGCTCTCCTCTCCCTTTGTAGAGCAGATCGACTGAAGCCCAGGACTCACTGAATAGGTGAAGCTTACAGGCTTTAGAACATGCACACTTGTACTTAGTGTCCCCAGGTGAGCTGGCTGCAGAATTACCACTGGTCACTTGTGTTTGTTCCCAAACTTGTTTGTGCTGATTGTACTTAGATTTATAATTATATTAGAGGCCTGGCACACAATATTCATGCACAGGTAGGGTCCCTAGGCCTGGCTTGCAATCAGGGCCCATCTTCCCTGGCTGCCAGCAGCTGGCCTTGCCACTCACCCTCTGTGTGTAGGGCAACTGGTGGGGCAATTGGGGCCCCGGCGCCGCCCGCGTTCGTTCACCGCCACCCACCTCTGGCTCCCTGTTCCCCATTGGGCGATCCGGGCCTGTAGGCTGGGGGCAGCTCCTGCATTGAGCATCTGCCCGCTGGTGATCAGTAAGCATCATAGCTGTCTGGTCAATTTGCATATTATGCTTTTATATATATAGATATGAGTATATAAACAATCTATATATATAAAAGCCTAAGCAGCCTTCCAACTGTCAGACGGGTAGCTATGATGTGCAGTGACCATCAGGGGGCAGATGCTTTGACCAGTAGCTATGACATGCACTGACCACCAGGGGGCAGACGCTCAATGCAGGAGCTGCTGAACTGCGGTGACTTAGCAGCTGCAGTTCTCCAGTGATGCACCTGAAACCAGAGAGGAGGGAGCCCAATTCCAAGGTGCATCACCCGAGAACTGCCCTCTTGCAATCCGGGACCCCTCGGGGGATGTCAGAGAGCCAGTTTCAGCCCAATCCCCACAGGCCAGGTTGAGGGACCTCACCGGTGCATGAGTCCATGCACCGGGGCTCTACTGTAATATAAATGTAAATAGAAAACATTTTTATTTTCTATGAAAAGTACATTGAATACTTTGGCAAGATTTGATAAAGAAGTACTGAACAAATTGCTATTTGATTGGGTGTGTGAGAGTCAACTGTGAAAGTCTGGGTAAGAATGTAAGAGACTCTTTCAGATTCCTTTCCAATTGCCTTTAAGTTCTTGATCCATTTTTAAAGAAACCAAACTCTATTTTATGTGTGGCTCATATAAGAAAGACGATAAATGGTCCCAAACTCAAAGAAAAGGCCTTGGCTCTACATCTAAAGAGTGACAAATGAATATTAATATATTTTAAGTTACAATAACATGTTTAACCCTTTTCGGTCCACAACCAGGCGCTAGGAGCAGGTCCAACGTTGAGGCTGAGACACTGCAAACCGGTTTAACATTCAATCCCGTCAATTAATTTGGACCAGACTGTTTGAATTCCAAAAATAAAATTGGACCGCAAAGGGTTAAAGTAAGAATTTACCATTTTTAGAATTTCTTGATTTTGTTGATTTTTTAAATTAATCAACATCATTACCAATTGACTGTATAGATAAGAGGGCCTTGTTTACAAAGTACCCTCAAACACAATCTCACCTGCACCTCATGATAACTCTGTGAGTGAGACACCCTGTTTTACAGACAAGGAAACTGAGGCCTAGGGAAGGGAGCTGAGATGGTTTACCTTCCGTCGTATGACTTACACATGAAGCTTTACTTCCTGAGTACTGAGGCCTCCTGGTGGTCATAGGACTTTGGGTTCTCCCCATATGAATAGCAATGATGGCAGTAACAACAACAATGGCCGACTTTTAAAGAACACTTAATATGTTCTAGACATCATGCTAAGCACTTTATGCATATTTCATATATTCTCACCCAATCCCAATATCTAGGAAGTATTATCTCAACATTTCTACAGGTAATAAAATTGAGGCTCAGAGAAATAAAGGAACTTACCTAAATAGGGAAGCCATATTTTGACTCTAGACACTGTGACTCCTGACTGTGTGCTCCTGATCAATGAACCACACTTCCTCTCACTTTACAGCAGGACTCCCTAGATCCCAGGTAAAAATCATCCTGCTCCAAGGCTGGCCAAGCTCTGAAGAGCAGTGATGGCCACCAGACAAATCGAAGTTTAGGGTGGATTTTTTTTACGCAGAATCCCTTTCCACACACAGCCTACCTAATGAGAATGGGGGCTCTTCAATCTAGACAGTACATGAGCCTCAGAGAGAAGGTAAGCAAGAAGACTGGGATGTCCAACTCCTCAAGTGCAGATTCCAAATCACTAACCTTGTAAATGTTTTGTAAGACAAGGTGCATCTTATCAGGGTGAACAGCAGAGAGCACAAATATCAACAGGACAACATCCACAGACTCGGGGGGCACATGTTCCATAAGGTCATCTTTAGTTAGATCGCACTGGAATACCTTGCATCTTTCTGTATCATATAAAGGATTTTGCTAAAGTGAGGAAAAATACAAAAGAATTTTAATGCCATATCCATGTTGATATAGAAAAATACAGCCTCAAAAGGAGATCCTGTTTCCACTTGTATACTACTGCACAGAGATCACTGATCACTTTGTTATAGGTAAAATGAGTAATGAACCATTTGCACATTAAAGAATGGAATATGCAATATGAGGGGCAAGATTTCCTTTTAACAAATCATTTTTAATTGAGGACAGAATACAGCCTATCACATATTCCAAATACCTCCAGAGGGATAATAATCCAAAACTGGTCTCTGCTTCCTTAATCCTCCTTTGAATGAATCATCACCTACAAAACTAAACTTACAAGAAGTCTTTCCAGCTCCCACAGTTCTCCTGGGTATATTAAACCTTGATGCAGCAAGCTAAATAAACCTAAATTCTTTTATTATAAGTGTGTTCCTGGTGCACTTTGGTTGGTGGGTTTAACGCTTTTATAAGCACATTATAAAGAAAAATATAAAACTTTGCTTTAATGTAAATAAGGGCCTGAATAAATAGAAAGACATAGAAAGTTACTGAATGGGAAGATTCAATATTGAAAAGATGCCAACTCTACCTATCATTCCACTTACAAATCCAGTGCAATCTCTACTGAATCCTAGTAAGTTTCTAGAAACTTGACAAGGTAAATTTGATTAATCTGGAAGTGAAAATCTTTAGGAATAGCCAAGTCAACTTTTTAAAATGAAGAATAATGAGGGAGAAGTGTAGTACTAACATAATGTGGTTTGAGAATGGGAACAAATAGAGACTGGGAAAGAGGAATAAGTTAAACAATGATACAAAGAAACATTTTGGAATGTGGGACCTCATTACAGAAAATGGCTCATTTTCCAAAAGCTCAATGTCAGTGTGGAAAAGGGTCAATGGGAAGGGCAGGAATATTTTAGGCTAAGGAGATTTAAGGTACATAATGAAATATAAGATGTAGTCCTTGATGAAATATAGCTATAAAAAACACCTGGGACTATCTAGGGAAATCTGAATCTGGGTTGGGTATTAATGACATTAGGGGATTAGAGTTATTTTTGTTATATATGTGTTTTGTGGTCATATAGAGAAAATCTTTATTGAAGATGTATGCAAACATGTTTAACAGTGAAATATCTGTAATTTAAAACAGTTCACATACAAAAAAAGTCTATAAAACAAATTCAACAAAATGCTGGCAATCATTAAATTTGGTATAAGCAGTCTGACTCATGTTGCTCAGTGGTCGAGCGTCGACCTATGAACCAAGAGGTCCCCAGTTTGATTCTTGGTCAGGGCACAGGGCCAGCTTGTGGGCTTCATCCCCAGTAGGAGGCAGCTGATTGATGTTTCTCTCTCATCAATGTTTCTCTCTATTCCTCTCCCTTTCTCTTTCTCTAAAGTCAATAAAAAGATATTTTTTAAAATTTTGGTAAAAGTATATGGGTGTCGTTATGGTATTTCTTTCTACTTTTCTGAATAAAGCTATCTTTCTATAAGTATTATATATGTATGTAAATGTAAACTACATTTTTTATTATCATAGCTGTTCAAAGTACAGGGAGAGAACAGAAATTGGGCAAATGGGTATATAAAGGGCAGGTTAAACAAATCTAAAAAACCAGAAACATAAGAGAATACATGGATGGTGCACCAACCTGGACATATTCAACTGCTCTTGGAGAAAAATCACAGGCATAAGCAAAGATATTCAGATCTTCTAAAAGTGGGAATAAACAGTTCCCAACCCCACAGCCAGCTTCAAGTACAGTCAATTTTTGATCTTCAAACTGAGGAAAGAGAACCCAAAGTTAGAGTACATAATGAAGAAATAAACCAAACTAAAAGGTCCAGAACATGTAAGACAAGGTCTCTGCCCTCAGAGACAATAAATAACTGATAACCCAAAGCTAATACTGACATCTCAATTTGTCGTCCAACATTGGGTAGTTTGGTGTGGAGAAAACACAGCATTAACAGCTCAATCCAGACTTTTCCCCTCACGTCTGTTTTCTATCGGTGGACAAATCAGTTAAACAGCTTTGTCCCTAATGTCATCAGTAAGTGGGGTTAACACTAATGCCTGCTTTACACTGCTATTACAAGGCTTAAATCACAGATGTGAAGTTCTAGAAAAGGGCATGGTCAGGTGATCATCATCATTATGAATCTGTCACTGAAGTTCTTCAGTATGAATTTATCATTTACAACTTTCAGGTTAGCTTTAAAGAAACAAAAATGCCCACTAAAGCTCTCTCCTGTGTATTATACAACCCAGGAGCTGCTGAAACTACTGGAGATCAGTCTACTTCTTTCTAAGGTATAAAGTATTCTGACAGGCTTCATAAATTATGTACCTCACTTCCATAAAAATGCAACAAAGCACTCTTTTTCTACAGCTCCGTCCTGGCTGGTGTGGCTTGGTTGGAACATCGTCCCATCCACGGAAGATGGCCAGTTCAATTCCCAGTCAGGGCACATACCCAGGTAGTGGGTTAGATTCCCAGTTAGGGCACATTCAGGGGGCAACGGATGGCCATTTCTATCTCTCCCTTCCTCTCTCTAAAATCAATTTTTAAAAAATTTTAAATAAAGAAACAACAGCTCAAATAAGGTGTAGCATTACCTCCCTACATGATCTGAGCTCCTCAAACTCTCTGGTGGTCCAGTGTCTGTCTTTGAAGAAATTAGTACTATTTCTTTTGTAAAAAAGATCCCAGTTCTTCTGAGCCTCTTTTTCCAGTTTTTGTTGTTTAAAATCAGACACTAAAGTTTGGTCCCTTTTCAGTTTCTCCTCTTCTTCGGAGCTGAGGATCCTTGCTGGCAGCCCCTTCCTTTGCAAAGATGCCATCTCATCAGCTGGTGGTAACACAGTTAATCCTGCTGAAGACTCTCCATCCCTGAATAACGTGAGGAATCCAAGCCGACTCTGCAGACGTAGGCAGGGTGTTCTCAGGTTCAAGGCTCAGGGGACATTCCTATTTTGCAGGAAAAAGAATGAGATTCTGGTTAGGGGTCCCAGGATGGTTCTTCAAGAGGCGGAGTCAGCGGTTCTAGCACAGATCTTTCACCAAACTGTCCAGTTCACCACACATTTACCAGTGCTGACTCTACATGAAACCCTGCCTGCCATAGAGAGGTCACATAGAAGCTAAGACAAAGTCCCCACCATCAGAGGGCTTACATTTATGCCAGAGGCCGGTCCATATTGTTGCTTGACACAGTCGCTGCAGGGAAGAAACTTCTGCACAGCATATGTTTCAAGGGACCTGGCGTATAGGGCATACTGTTCTTAATATGTTTGCTCACCTTCTTGGCACTATGTGTTTTAACCAAGGTCACCTCTCCAAGAAAGGTTGTTTCCCCAGGTGGGGATTTTTCCCTGGAGTTAGGGAATAACAGGACTAAGGAAGGGAAAAAATCAGTAAAGCCCCTTAACTAAGTGCCAGGTGGGTAGTTAATCACCTTAACTACGAACAATCACGCTTAAGGTACATAATCTTTACTTAGGATAATCTCCTTCAGTTACTTCCTTGTAGCTTAACAGAACAGAACAGTAGTGACCTTGGAATGGAGATAACTAGCCCTAACCTTTGGAATAGAATGGATAGGATTAAACTCAACAGAACTAGATGGAGATGGGGTTTTTGGCAAAGATCAGATAAGAAACTACGGACATGAAACAAGGAACTGCAGAAGGTCAAGGGAGGACCCAAAACATACCATGATGTGATTATAGAGGCATGCTTATAGGATCAAATGGTAGAAATACAGATGTAACAGGAGAATAAAGAGAAAACCTGGCTCTGCTGATCAACTGAAGGCTGTCTCCGAGTCATTCCTTCTTCCCGGACTCCGTCCACACCTTTGGGAACCCGTGGACCTGATGGGGCTGGACCCCAACACATTTAGGGGCACAGGGCTCGCACGCGCAGAACGCTAACTCAAACCAGAATAACTCCTCTATTAAAATAAATCGGTTTCGTTCAGAAAAAGGACACTCCCAAGAACTGACTGAGAAACACTGCAGAGAAAATACTCATTAATTTTTGGGGTGACTTAAGGAGTGACTTAACAACGACCGCACCAGCTCCCCGATTGGATGCGGGTGGTCAATTGCCGGACAGACGTGGGATCATCGTTTCCCAAGGATCGGAGACAAGGTTTTTTCGGGGAAGACAGAGCTACGCCCGGGGGGCCTGAGTCTCTCGTCGCACTCACAAGAACTCTCACAACCAGGGACTGAGGCCCTCGCACCGCCAACACGGCACGAAGGGGAGGGAGAGAACGAGTGAGTCGTGGCATAGGATTCCGAGAACCCATCTGTCTCATGAGACTCGAGATCAACTAGGCGGACCCGGCCGCTAGGGCCTGCGGAGAGCCGGTCACACTGGCTGTCAGACCCGCGTGGATCTAGCCCGCGGCGCTCTGGGCTCACCGTCATCAGTTTCTAGCTTCACCTGGAGGGGCAGGGCCGGGCGCACTCAGCCCTCAGCCAGGCCCAGGCCTCGGAAACAGAGTTTGGGAGCCGCCGCGAAAAAACCCTGAGCCTGGACAAACCGGCGTCGAGGACCTCAGAATCCCGGCGGAATTCTATTGCCATGGCACCGCCTCCGCCACTTCCGCCACGAACCCGGAAGTACCTCCCCGACGCCGGATGTCCCGTGGCCTTGCTTCCGCAGAGGCTTCCCCCAACCCGACGCGGAGGAGACTTGCTTCCGGCCCCGGGTGGGCGCCGGTTGGAATCCCGGTGTGCTGCGGAGCGGTGTCCCGGGAGCACCGCTCTCCAGGACGCCGGCGCCGGAAGCTCGTACGGTGGCCGCGCCGGCAGAGCGCCGGTCCGGGCGCGAGGCCCGTGCGGGGCCATGAACGGGACCGCGAACCCGCTGCTGGACCGCGAGGAACACTGCCTGCGGCTCGGGGAGAGCTTCGAAAAGCGACCGCGAGCCTCCTTCCACACCATTCGCTGTAAGTCGGCGCTCCCACGGCTCCTTTCGGCCGCTCCGGCCGCCTCTCGCCAACCTTGGCTTCCAAAGTCCGGGGAATCCCCTGCTACGTCAGCTCCCTCCTCTGTTACCCCGGAACCCCCGGGACCTCGATTTTCTCCCTTCTCCCTCCCGTCCCTCACCAGCTGACCCTTCCCAAACCAAACCCTTCGTCACTCCCAACCATTCTTGTCTCGTGGCCCCAAACGCTTCTTCCGAAGCGCGTTGACCTCTTTCTCTTTTCATTGCTCCAGCCAGCCCTTCCTTCATGCCAGACCTTCCCCTCTTCACTGCCGAAAGGCTGTGGCCCCGCATCAGACTCCAGTTCTTCCTCGAATCCACCCCCTTTCTGATTACCCACCCGAGTTCTCCGCGTTTAAAGGACTCTTCTGTTTGCCCATGAGCCTCCCACTCCCTCCTGTTTCATTCTCTTTTCCCCGTTTTCCCCGGCTCTCCCCTCGTCCGTCTTTGCCCTGAGACACTGCGCTTCATTCCCTCTTGCAGCCAAATAATGCGCATCCTCTCTGCGCCCTGTCAGTGTCTTCCTCCCCCGGCTCTCCGCACCTCCCTTGACATTGATGTCTTTTGAGGTCACTTATACTTTTCTGACTTTAACTCAGGATCAAGTCCCTTGTGTAGAATAAAGTTAGAATGTGTGCGCCTGGAATAAGTTAAAACTTGACCTATGCTGGGGAGCACAAGACAGCAGGCCTAGAAAATGTCCAAATAGTCATTATGCCGGACCATCCTTTTCTGCCAGATTACAGACTCTGTTGAGGGAGGGCACGCCCACTCCTTCCCATGTCCTGGGTAAAGATTCGGCTTTTAATTAGTTGGCTGACTGAGCCTCCCTCTGTGATTCACAAGCCCCTGGTTTCCTGTCTCGGTGATGCTAATGCTGGTTAAGACTTGTTTTTGTCTAAGGAGCTAATAGATGTGACTCAACACATAGGAAAAGGGTGTGTCAGTTAATGAAGGTCTATCTTTGTGTGGTCACTTGCAGGCCATTGCTATGCTAACTACTGACAGCAGAGCAGCCCTCTCAGAGGGAGGATATTGGGGATGTGATGAGACCAGCATCGCTTGAGCAGTGTGCTAAGTTGCTTTAGTAGAGTGAAGGGCAATGTGAAATTTAAATGGGACACTTCTCATATGCACCTGGCCTGCAGTTTGAGGCGGGCGTGTGTTAACATGGAGTGAGATGGCTTCATGCTGTACCGCAGCTGCAATTCAGAAGTACGGGCAGGATTAACCTTTAGAGATCAAGTTCAGCCGTCTACTCCAAACATCTGCAGGAGTATCTATGTTAAAGCTATGGAACTTGAGTGTGGCAAATCATAACTTTGACGGTTCCTAAGCAAAATGAAATCAGCTTAGATGATGCAGCTTATAAAACCCTACTTCACATAGGGTTTTACAATCACAGCATCTTATTAATATGTTGTTGCTTTTGATCCTCACAACAACCTAACAAAGCGCTTTATAATGATAAGCGTTCATTTTCATCTGTCACTGGGGAGAAGGGAATATCTCTGCTTAATAAAATGGTACATAAATGCTAGCTTTTTTTTTCCCCTCTTCAAAATAATCCAGTTGGGGTGGGAGGAAAAGTGTGTAGAGGAATAGATGAAACAAGATTGTCCTGAGTTGGTAATTCCTGAGGCTGAATAATGATGGTACACAGAGTTTTACTGCACTATTCTCTTTGCTTTTGTACATTAGAAGTTTTTCTCAAAGAAATAGTTTTTTTAATATTCTAAATTATTTGTATTTCCCATTTATCTGAATAATTCTTAAATGAGAATGCCTAGAAAACCCTTAGTATAAGTAACTTGATGGATAAGTGCTTTTTTCTCCCTTTCCCTTTAGATGATTTTAAGCCAGCATCTATAGACACCTCCTGTGAAGGAGAGCTTCAGGTTGGCAAAGGAGATGAAGTCACAATTACACTGCCACATATCCCTGTAAGTTTATGCCGTTGTTGTTGTTTTAAATGAATTTTCCTATTTTATGTTATTACAGTTTGAATTCCCTTCTGTTTAAAATGTCAGCATAAGGAAAAAAGAAATTTGGGATATGGGTTTGAGTAGAATGCATCCATCCCAGGTGCTTGATTAAAAATGATTTTTGTCATTTTACCCAGGCTCCTATTTACTGCAGAGTAGACAAAGACCCTACCTGGATATCTAGCCCCTCTTTTAGTCATGCATAGCTTTTTCCCAAGCAACTCCACAGAGAAAAGCCATCGGTTCCATGTTAATGTACAGCAAGCACAGTTTAGGAGTGTGGAGCTGCTAAGGCAGGAGTCAAGGTGGGCAGGAGCAGGACTTAAATCTTTCATGTCATATATCTGGGGTGAAGTGTAGGCTGATAATTTCAGGCAAGAACCAGAGGTTCAGAGCATTCAGCTAATTGAGTGATGAGGAACTCAGTTAAAGGCTGAGTTGAGAACCCTTGCAGAAAGAGAGAGGCTTTTATGAAGCCTTGCCCAAGGCAGCATTCTGTTCACAAAGTCTGAAGAGTTAGACAAAATACTCTGTGAACATGTGTCATTGCATGTCGCAGCCCTGCCCTTGAACAAATTAGTTCTTGCTCACCAGTGACAGAAGGAAAAGACTCTGGACAAGGAGACCTGGGAAAGTTTGTGTTTTTGAAACAGACTGCTGTTTCATTACTTGTGGCCTTTGTAATCCTCTCGCCAACCTTGGCCTTACATCCAGCCCAACCTTACATCATCTCCCTTTTGAGCATACATTTCCAAGTGTGAAATGAAGGGGTTAGATAAATGGTTCCTAAGGTCCCTTCCTACTGTGTAAGTGAGGAGCCAAATAGTTTTCGATTCTGTACAAAGGGTTAAGTTCTGAATTTGGCAAACATTAATTGAGCACATACTGTGTCGGTCCATTGCTAGACACTGAGAATACAGTCTTGAATAAAACAAGCACATTTTTTGGCCTGTGGAGTTTATGGCATGGAATTTAAATATAAGAAAACATATGTTTATTTTAGAAAATCAGGGAAGGTTTGTCTAAGAAATACCTTTGCATAGGTCTGAAGGCTGAGTAATTGAAAAAGAGGGAGAGGCAGGTGTTACAGGCAGGAGCCTTGTTAAAGTCACAGAATAAAAAAGACTGAGCATTTCAGGGAATGCCAGCTGCCTTCTGCTCTGGAGTCAGCACAGCCCAGGGGTGAGTGGTGCTGGTGAGGCTGAAGGGCTAGAAGGCTTAAAGATTTCATTACTTGACCTCGGAGCAATGGGGTAGTCATCAAAGGGCCTAGGCAGGTGAGTGGCCTGATGTACTTACTCTGAGTTTACCAGAATAATGGGCTGCCTTTGAGATGCTCTGTTGGTTACTTGGCATGACAGGGAAGCCATGAACTCTCCAATTATGAGGCAATATTAGAGATCTCTCAGTAGCTCTTCTCAGTGTAATACAAGTAATGGTTATTTTTTTCCTCTCATTTCACACTTTACTATTATTTGTAACACTTCCCGAATCCCTAGAACAATGTACATACGGTAATTTTAAAAATTTATATTACCTTTCTTGATGACTTAGAACCAGTTGTACAGTCACAGGTTCTTGCTATATTATTTCCTTTTATTTTTACCTGGGAAACCAGGAGTTCTTTTTGAGTCTCTGATAAAAGATTTGATGAGGTAGAGTCACCTGTAAATTTATTTTTTATATTCGTAACTGGTGTGTTTAGTTTTGATCATATGCATTTTGTGCCATATAGGGATCCACACCACCAATGACTGTGTTCAAAGGGAACAAACGGCCTTATCAGAAAGACTGTGTGCTTATTATTAATCATGACACTGGTGAATATGTGCTGGAAAAACTCAGTAGCAGCATTCAGGTCAAGAAAACAAGGTATGTGAATAACCAGATACAGAGTGATGTGAGTTTGCATTTTTATTATCTATTTGGTTATTTATAAGATTGTGAGTATCTGGGTATTCAGTATCCTATCAATAATCTCAATAACTCCACCTTTGTCTTCTCAGACAAATCCAAAAATATCTTTTCCTCAAATGTAGTAGAAAGAAATAATGCTTTTAAAACCTGAAAAGTGAAAGCCATTGGGTAAAGAGGTGTTCTTTATAAGTAAATTGATTTTATTAATCTCATGATTTTTGAAACAGTACCATTTAAGGGATAAAACTTAAATTTATATACTTATAATTATGAAAGGATAATCGAATAATAGATATTCTTTATTAGTGTGAAAACATTCATTTTCTTAATGTTAAGTGGTTATTACATGCCAGGAACTGTGCTAGTTGCTTTATGGCAGTATCTTTTCTCATCTGTCAGTAATTCTTAGAAAGGTGTTGTTATTATCCTTAAACACCACATACACACAGACGAAGGGACCAAGGATAAGTGCAAGTGACTCACCTGAGGCTGGTGCCGCTGCTACAGAGCTGCT